AATCCTTTCATTGCTATATGTGTTACAAAGATTTTCCATCCTTGCAAATATTTTTTCCACCCTTTCATGTACTTTGAAACTTTGTGGTATTTTTCATTGTTTATATAATGTTCATTTTTTATACAATTAGAGCTGTAGATCTTTCTGTACTACTTTTTAAGTTCCAAAATGAATTTTTATATAAAATTAATCCACAGAAGGGGAAATTTTCTAAAGCATAATAGGAAGCTAGTGTTGCTGGTTTCTTTTGTTTGTTTGTTTTAAATTCAGGTGCCTAAGTGACAGACTTCCATATTATTTATTTGAAGAGACAGAGCACAAATTGAGGGGAGGGGCAAAGGAAGAGGGACAAGCAGACCCCCTGCTGAGCGGGGAGCCCGATGTGATGCCGCAGGGCTAGATCCCAGAACCCTGAGATCATGACCTGAGCTGAAGTCAGATGCTTAACTGACTGAGCCACCAGGTGCCCCTTCTTTTTTTAAATGTACTTACTCTTAAGCATAATAAAGAGAAGTTTTTAAGTTGAGATTTTGTTAAAAGATAGTATTTGAAATACTGCTTATTAAATGTATGACTAATTACTTTTCAGAGTACTCACTTCATCTAAATGTAGATAAATTTCTTTTTGAAATCAAAGGGTTCCAACTTGTCACTTAGTATAAACACCTTTGTGACAAAATCTTATACTGACTTGTAATAGTAGGGTACCCCTGACTGTGATGTCAGTTATCCTGATACACTGATTGCACTGTGTCTGAAGAAAAATGTCACATAGGTGTCATAGTGTATGATAGAGCGAGCATTAGATGATGCACTGCCCTTTCCAGCAGTTACCCTTCGGTTTAGCTCTTGTGCATTAAATGAGATAAGGTCTACTAAGAGATGCTTTCCCCCCCATTCATTTTCAGTCTGCTGTTAACTAGCCCTAGACCATTTTTATTTCATATTATATGCAAAAATATATCCTTATGAATGTTTATTGAGTAGTAAAGAATGTTCAAGTTACAACCATTTGAACTTTATAAGTCAGCAGACACTTTGGTTCTCTTACACTTTAGGACATATTTGTTACAGGTATCATACATCTTTTCTCACGAACAACAGTCTTACTTTACAGTCTTTTTTTTTTAGTGAGTAAAAATCAGAGGTCTTCGTGATAGGATGTTAAAAACAGAAAAAATGTTTTAAGTTTTTAAATGACAACTTTTGGGTTCCTGTTTTTTTTCTATACTGAGAAATAATTTAGGAGAGATATTATTAAATACATTTGTAGGTCATTTTAACTCAGCCTCAGAGATATGGTTTGTCCAAAATTACATAACTCTAAAAGATGGAAGACTGCAGGTCTTTTGCTCCCCCGAGACAAGTTGAATGGGGAAAATTTCCACTGATTTGGATTATCCATACCCTTGTATAATTCAAAACAACTGTAAATACGTTTTATATCATTTTTCCTTAAATGTGATTTGTGTAAGTTGCATGTGTTACTCAGAGATTGATCCTAATCAGATGGCCATAGAAACATATTTTTTCTGTTTACACATTGGAAAACATGAAAACACTGTATGAAACAGGTTTTATATGTCTATAATTTTATTTTATATGGGTACCCAAATGAAAAATATTTTTCCGTGATCTTATTGAAGATGCAGTTTTGCATCTTCTACTCAGAATTAGGTAGGTAGAAGGAAATAAAAGTTGTTTTTATGTTTTTAAAAAGATTTTATTGATTTTATTTGAGAAAGAGCGAGCACAAGTCAGGGCAGAGGGAGAGGGAGAAGCAGACTCCCTACTGAGCAGGGAGCCCGATTTGGGGCTCGATCCCAGGACCCTGAGATCATGACCTGAGCCTAAGGCAGATGCTTAACTGACTGAGCCACCTAGGTGCCTGGAAATAAACATTGTTTTATGGTACTTTAAATTCTGTTTTGCATGGAGGAAAGAAAAAGATCTTAAAATGTATTTAGTCATTAATTAAAAGGTATCAGAGTGGTTATATGTTATAACTTTGGTCCTGAGGTCAGTAAACTCAATAGGTATGGTAGAGAAATACTGGAAAAGTGGCAAGTGAAGAACTCTATAAAGGTCATAACACTGTGAATCATCTTTTAGGGGCATTGAAGCTGAAGAAGAAATAGTTAATGCACCTGCTGGTTGCTCTTTGAACTTACATGATACCGATCTTCTAGGTTACAAAGTAGGGATTTCCTAGGAGAATTGCTCAAAAATAATTCTTCAGGTTGTTTGTAGGTTTAATCTGTGTGCAGATTTTTGCCATGTGTATAGAATATTCTTTAAAAAATAGAATTGAAATTTTGCTTTATTGTAAAAAACTGCTGGAATTTACCTTGATTTTGGCAAATGAAGTACATAAAATAGCCCCATGGGGGCTTTTTTATTTTGGTAATTGCCTACTTTGTGTGAATACAGATGAAAGAATCCTTTGAAGTAAAAGGAACATTATTTTGTAAAGAAAATAGATTTTTTTCCTTGTAGTATTGCATAAACCTTTGAGAAAGCAGATTTTCATTTTTTTGTTTTGTGATTTTTCTTTGAATACAGTATTTTGCTTACTATTGCGTTTGCTGAAAAATTCTTTTTTATTGGTGATAATAATAACTGCTCCCAAGAAGAAATTTGTATTTCCTTTCATTTTAGGATTTGTCATCTAAAAAATGTATATCTAAACAGAAGTGAAGATAATGATTACCAACCACAAATTTAATGATATTAAAGAAATTAAAAGTTTTGATTTCTTTGCTCATCTTGTGTACTATATAGTCTAGCTCCTTTGAAATCTTTTCTTTGGCATCCTTTTGTGTGATTTTCAGATTACGTTAAGGTTCACTGTTATAAAGCCTTTGAATGGCATAAAGATGACAATTAATGGCATCTGCTTCAGGCAGCTTATGTAAGTCATAGTTGCAAACCAACTTTTTAGTTTTATTCCTACCAGGCTATTTTAATTATAATCTATAGTCCCTGGTAGCATTGTGTGACTAAAATACTTACGCATGACTACTGACCTATTAATGACATCTAGTAAATTAATGTTGATGCTTTAAAATTATTTACTAGTTGTGTATGGTTCTTTTTCTTTCTGGGTGATTTAACTCAGTATTTATATAGTTATTTATTTTAATTTGAGTATCTTTGCTGTTTGTGAGAAGACACTCTCCGGTTTAGGCTCCAGTTGTCTGTTTAATGTGTAACCAGTTCAAATAATCACATCTTACACTGGATGCATATAAACTTACCTGTGGGGTAAAGCCTTTTGAGAGATGAGTATTGCTTACATATGCTTCTCATATAGTGTTTTTTTGTTTGTTTGTTTTTAATGTCTTCAGTTTATTGGAGGTCACTTTGGATGCCCCTTAGAATTTGGCACTTAGATTCTTAGAATAAACCTGGTCAGAAGATCCTGGGGTGGTTGATATTTGGCTATCTGTAGAAGCAACCTATCTTGGACAGGTAATAAATGTGTCTTAGGAGATCAGAGAAGTGCCCCAGCCTAAAGATGATGAGGGTGTACATCAGGCCTAGAATTAAGTTGTAGTTTATTTCTATTTATGCATTAATTTTTTTTCTCTTCAGGATATTTTTATCATGAGGGTGGTGTCGTCTAGGTAATATGAAGTGTTGTGTCAAGCATCATTCAGGAAAAAGAAAACTATTTAGGAGTCATGACTATTGTAGTTGTTATGTAAGTCATCAAGAGGTCGACATGTTTTTTATAGTCTGGGTGAAATGATTTCTGAACTTTTCAGTTGCCCTTTATTGAATTCTATATTTATCAATACTGTGATGGTGCCAATACATTCTTCTTGGTATTTTTATACTGAGAAAGAATTATTCATGATAATGGATGTGATATAACTTTCTAGTGAGTTTGGTTTGTCAGGCGCAAAGAGCCTCATCAACACCGAGTTCATTGACAAAATTGAGTTTCAGGAATTTTAATGAGAACCTGATCTTACCAAAATGTTGACAGTGATATTTTGCTTGACTTTCATGTTGATGTTCATGTTTCACATCTAGTAAGTTCAAAATCAAGGAAAATCTTTTTAATTTTATAAAGTTTTAACAAATCTGGAGTGCAAATAGTAACTTTAAATATAATTTGTAATTGCAGATATGTATATTTGCATAGATAAGGAAATATTTTACTCTTAATAATTGAAAGGTAGATGAAGTATAACATGACCTACTCTAAAACGTAAAGACGTATACTAACTAATCTTATTTGTTTGCAGTGAGGATCTTTAAAAATTTTTTATCACATTTTCTCATTAAATAATTTAACTTCTCTCAGAATATTGAGTTAAACAGAAAAAGAGTAATCTGTTTTTATTAATTTCAGTTATGGATAAATTTTTACAGAAGATAGAATCATAAATGTTTAAAAAGATCAAATACCTCCTAGAGCTAGAAGTTGGCTCAGTTGTGAATGGAACTCAGTTTGTCTAACTCTAGTCTGAACTATTCAAATTGTCCTATAACCTTAATTTATGTCTGTGTGGGTTTATGTATTTTTCTTTTCCTAATACTTAACTTTGTGTTTATGGTTATATGAATTTGTGTTTTATCTGCCATCCCCAAAGTTTGAGACCTTTTTGATTATATGTTTGTTTTGCATGAGCATGGTCTTAAATATTTAAGTGTCCATTACAAAAGGAGCTCAATGAATGTTAATCAGTAGTTCCTAGATACAGTCTGATTTCTTTTTAATGAAGATTCCTATTTTTATGTAATTTTTATTCCCGTAATGCTTTTCCAGTAGATGTAAAATTATTTTAAAAGATCATTTGTTTCATTGTGCATACTATGGTAGGTGAAAAAGTACTTTTATAAAATGATTTCACGTACATGTTTTGACTTTAATATCATTCTTATAAACCATTAGTTTTTCAGATTTGTTCTCTACTTCCCTTTTTCTTTTGTAATTTTATAAATGAGTTAAAAAATAAACTATTTAATCATACCTTTTTTTTTTTTTTTAGGTTGTTATGGAGTTGATGGAGAGAGTGACTCTATTATGAGTTCAGCTTCTGAAAACTCCACAGAACCTTGGTTTTGTGATGCCTGTAAATGTGGTGTTTCCCCTAGCTGTGAACTCTGTCCCAATCAGGATGGAATTTTCAAGGAGACAGATGCTGGAAGGTTGATGTCATAATTCTCATGGGTTTATATGCCTGCTTTATAATGTGTCTGCTTCTATTATTTTTTCAGTTACAAACTTTTGTTTGATTGTTTCTTTGTATTTTTTTTTGGCATAGGGTAAATGGACAGTAGGCTACAGATCAGGGGAAGGAGAAAAGACTATTTATTGGTTATCTGCATTTGCCTTTATAGCCATAGTCCCATTTAATCCCAGTGATGACTCTATAATGAGACAGTTGCTAAAGTTTTCCATTTTATGGGTGTAGTACCTGAGCCTTAGATCATTAAGTAATTTTAATTTGATCAAGGTCACAAGCAGGTGAATAGTCAGATTTGAACCCAGATCTGTCTGACTTCAAAAGTATATCAGAAGACAGAACCCATACAGTGGTTTTAAAAGGGGACTTTACAGAATTATTTAGCTATGATAAGAGTAACTGTGATATCACAGCCTGTACCCCTGAAACAAATAATACATTATATGTTAATTAAAAAAAAACTAATGATGTACTACAAGTTGGCTAATTTAATTAAAAAAGAAAAAAGTAACTGTAATATAAAAGAACTCTAAAGGATACCCTAAGGCCGAGGGAGAGCATCCAGGGAATGACAAACTTGGAAGACCCCTCCCCAAGGCTGGAGTTCAGACCTTATTGGAGAAGGTGTAGTTGCAACCTATTGGATGGCAGAGATGCTTACCGGTTTGCCTGGGCCAGAACTGGTCTTTAGTTCGTGGCAAGTGGGTGTCTAGGCACAAGTTGCAGAAGGTACTGGGGCACCAGTATGGTGTCTGGAGTGTGTGGGTCCGTGTTGGGAGGGCCACAGAAAAGTGATCTCCAGGCTGGGCTTGCGAGGGCACGGAGTTGGTAGTTGGTGTATGTGGCTGGGGCAGAGCCCTGGCAGATGCTCTTCATCATCCCTGCTGAGAAGTGCTTTCCTCCTACAGTGCTCTCTACCACTTCTACTGAGACAGCTTAATATCGTGCTCACTGTAAAGGAGAAATGCTGAAGGGATTTTCTCCATTATTGCATAGCAGATATTTGAGGTGGATTTGGAGCTGAGAGGCAATAAATTGATAACTGGCACAAAGATCTATGTTTTTTTCACTACACTCACACTAATCTTTATTATTACATTTGAGCAATTGTCATCATAATAGTGTTGATATTTTTCATGTTTTTGCCCAGGAGACTACCATCTGGGTAGTTTAAGAGTAGTTCCTGCCCTCTTGTATTTTATGGATCATTACCTACCCGACCTCCCCACCGCCCCCCCCCAATATGAGTACTAAAATATATTAAGTTTTTTATTTTGTGATGAAATATTTCAGTATTTTTAAAAATGTTTAATAGTGGGGCAAATTTTCAGCATTATTTTCCATATTTTAACATTGAAAAGGATAGGATACATTTTATCCCAAAGTAAAGATAGTCTTTAAAATTTAATACATGTTACTTTAGCAAAATCAGAAATATTTTTCTTATATGTCCCTTGGTTGGTGGAGAGGCCCCTGAGAAATGTTGCCATACAAGGTTGTTGGGATAGCATAGAATCTACCATGGAATCTTGGAGAAGCCTGTGTGTTGATGTCTAGGAAAAATGGCTAAAAATCTTAGCTCTTCTTCCTCATTGCACATCCAAAAAGGTGAAATAAAATACAAGGCATAACAAATGATTTGATGTATTGACATGAATCTTTAGTCTCTGTCATAGACCCGGGCATTATTTCATGTTTGGACTGACTTGGGCCCAGAATTAGGGAATTGAGTGCAGCATTAAAAGTGTGTGCTTCCAGGTTGGACTGCCTATATTTGAGTTCTGGTCTTTTTTTTTTTTACTAACTGTGATTATAGGCATTTGATTTAACTTTTTAATACCTCTATTTTCTTAGTACTTTTGAGAGGAATGAGGTGATTCCTATAAAACAGTACAGTTTCTGGAGCATAGCAAGTGGTTAATAAATGTCTCCTTATTTCTACTGCTGCTCCTAATGGTTTTCTTACTACCAGTATTGTTCCATTTCCTTAAGGTGATCACAGAGTATCAGCTGCATGAATTCCTTCTGGTAACTATTTAGTCCTGACAGTTGAAATTTTTGGTGAGAAATTGTGGTGAATAAGTAAGACAACTTTGGAAAACACAGAGCTTCCTCTTAGGGAAAATAATTTGTTTTACCTCTTTTCTTGTTCATAATTTAAAAGTTCTATTGAAAAACTATAAAGTACCTGTCTCTTCACGCTATTATAATCCACAAAATAACTTGTAAAATTGTTTCTGAATGGAGAAAAGAGAGGCCCCTTTAATTAGATTCACTGAGAAATATTTGTACTGACTCCTGTGGATCTTACCTCTACAGACACTTCCCTTGGTGGTACAGCCTCGCAGAAGTTCTTCTATAGTATTTGAACATTTTATTTGCATTGAGGCACACACTCATCTACAGGCTATGGTGGAAATTATAGGTCTTGAAATAGTTTGAAGGATATAGTTGAACCTTGATATACTTTGATACAAGGCAAAAAAAAAAGTCAAGAAAATTTGGCAAGCCATTTAGTATTCTAGCTTCAAATGGTAAATGGGGGAAAAAAAAGAACAATGTATGGAAAGAATGAAAAAGGTTTTGAAACTGCATATCACATAGGCTAATTAGACTTTTTCCCCCTCTGTTTCTGATGGGAGCCGCAAGTTCTACATCTAGTTAGTTTGCTCTATTAAAATATGTGAGTTTAAAAGGATATATTAATAGTTTCCATGCTAGAATGACAATTTTGACTCTTCGTTTTTTGGTGGTTTTATGTGGTGCTTGATTTCTGTTTCATTTCCCCAGTCAACATCTGTCCTTATAGCTCTAAGCAAAATGGACGTTAACATAGCAAAGATTGTTCCCTTTTGATTTCTCCATTTGTCTTAATTACAGAGTTCTAAAGTATGTACAATTAAACAAATGAACAAAAAATTATTTACAAAAGGTATTAAAAAGGAACAAAATTGTCTCAGCTGTTTGAGACGCATTTTAATAAAGACCCAAGTTGACATCCTCACATCAGTGGTTGGGGAAATGATACAGTTGTGTGCCAATCACACTGAAATGGCAGTTTAAATCTTAGTACTTGCATGACTTGTACTAAAACATTTTCAGAAGGTCAGTATGAAGCAAGCAGCCAGCTGTTGGGTTTATCAAAGATAAACTCCTACAGAGTACAGTGGCATTTAATACACCAGTGGAGCATGAAAAAGCTGCGCAAATTAAATTGAGAAAGCAGCTGCTTGTTGAAGATGTGTATCTTTATATCGAACTCCACAGGATGCATTTGGGAGGTTGGATTAAAACATTTTATCAAGAAAATCTCAAAATCTTGGATTTTCTTCTCAATAAAAAAGATAATTTCTAAAGATTTGTAACTGTTTTCCCCAGTGCCTCTATAAAATGATTCTTAGTCTTACTCTTTTAAAATGTATAATGTGTCACAAAACACAACCATATAGCAGTCGTAGCCTCTCAAGCTGTGATAAAGCAGAATTTGTTGTTAATATAGTCACAAGGTTGGGGCGCCTGGGTGGCTTAGTCGGTTAAGCGTCTGCCTTTGGCTCAGGTCATGATCCCAGGGTCCTGGGATCGAGTCCCGCATCGGGCTCCCTGCTCTGCGGGGAAGCCTGCTTCTCCCTCTCCCACTCCCCCTGCTTGTGTTCCCTCTCTCTCTGTGTCTCTCTCTGTCAAATAAATAAATAAAATCTTAAAAAAAAAAATATAGTCACAAGGTTAAGAGAGATTTGCTGTCTCATTTTTACCTTCTTTCTTACAGAAGTGATATAGATCTGTTTAAATTTCGAAATCCGGTGATCCCATATATTGTGTGGTTGTATGTAAACAGAAAGGGTTCCTGATGCATTTCAAAAGTTTCAGCGCAGCTTTTAAAAAATGAAATTAGAATCAACTACCTTTTTTTAGTGTACTGAAACTTCGAGCATTCCTTATTTAGTGTTGCGTATCATTCAGACTTAAAAAAATACATGTGGGGCATATAAGTTTTAGTACAAAGGTTGTATGGTGAACAGATGAATGAAACAGGACTTCCTTATATTTTATAACTGTTCTGGACAGTCTTTGAGAATCAGTTTTAACCTGGGAAGAAAGAAAGGATGAACATTAAAAATTGTTTTAAAGTGTTCTGAAGGACTATTCCAACAGCTTTTAGAAAAAAGTAACAAGGAAGAATAATTTTACCTAATTACTGCAGAATTACTTCACAGTTCTTAAATTAGATCCTTACTTCTCAGAGTGCTTAAAGTAATGAATGTGAATACCTTTCCACGCATAAGAAAATGATGTTTTGTTTCATTTGAATAGTGGTTTTGTGCAAATATTTAAGAAAAACAGGTGAGTGCAAAGTGCAGTGAACTGAAGTGACAGGCAATTATAGTTGTTAACTCTCAGCTTTGGCTAAGTGCTAGGAAAGTGCTTATTGCAGTTGTGCTTATTCGATATTCTTCAGTTATGTGAGATTCTGAGATCTGACCATAGAATTCTTTCAGGAGTTATTTGAGATGGCACATATTTTATGTTTATTTTCCTTGTGGGCATTTTATGAAAGGGTTTGATGGCAAAATCATATTTTCTCTCCTTATAGATGGGTTCATATTGTTTGTGCCCTGTATGTTCCTGGAGTAGCCTTTGGAGATATTGACAAATTACGACCAGTAACACTAACAGAAATGAATTATTCCAAATATGGTGCCAAGGTGAGACAAAGTTTTCTTTATTGTCTAAAAGAGAAAAATTTTACTTGTTAGTTTGTATGGCTTTTTACTAATACCATATCATTGTTGAGTACAGAAATGCTTATTCTTATTATACTAGTTTGTAGAGTAGTTAGCACTAAATCATCTATTATTGATAGTAATTTTCCCAGAAAGCCCATAATTTATAAATTCCTTCATGTATTCTTTAACTTTTGGGGTAAAATGATAATTGATTCTACTTAACATTTCTGTGCCATTTAGCACACTCCCTAGCACATATGAATTCTCAGACTAGTTAGAACAAATACAAACCTAATTTCTGACTTTACTTTTGAAATGGAATTTACCAAAATTACGAAAAGAGTATTAAGAAGCACCTGTTATTTTACTTTTAGACTTCAAGGACTGTTTTTTTTTTTTTTAATGACTACAAAACCTGTCTAGCAACTGATTCTGAGCCTCAAGTTTATAAATTGGTTTTTATTGCTTGAGCTTTAGGATTATAAGTGATAAAAATACACTTACTAATTTAAATTTAGTTACATGATTACTACAGACATCCCTGTAATATTAGAATGAATTAGGCACTGATACATTCTCTTCCATTGCTGTCTTTTGGGAAATTGGGAAGGAAGACTCTTGAATAGCATCAGTAACACATTAAGGTGGGGTGGGAAGTTTACAGATTGTTGGAAAACTCCGATATTGAAAATTCAAGAATTTGACAGTTTCTGCTGTTATATCCAGAATATCCTCCTTAGGTTCTAACCACCACCTGCATCCCTCACCCTCCAGCCTCACTCCAAAACTCTTGTGCTTTAGTTTGGGTAATTTCTATTGAATTATCTGTAGCATCCCTCTCCAAAATTAGCTAAAGCCCCCAGGGAGAAAAACAGGCCCAAGCACCGAACTTACTTTCCTGGTCCTCAGGTAGTTCTATACTATCTTTTTATCTCTCTGATGCCTTTAAGCAATAGTTTAAAAAAAAATACTTTGTCCATATTTTCTAGTTTCTAGTAGGATTAATACAGATTACCTAGTGTACCATTATTGGAAGTGAAAGGTACTGCTTTTTGATAACAGCTTCATAATTCATAAACACAGAGCCTAGAAGGGACTAACAAGTAATTTTCAGTAGGCACACAGTATTATCATGAATATAAATCTACAAGCAATGAAAAACGCAGGAACCAGATATTACTTCATATATCTGAAACCAGCAGTGACCTCTGAACCAAAAAAGAGAATCATTAAATATGCAATTGTGAGCTGATTTTTCATTATCACCTGCTTTTGTTTTGAAGTATGATTAGGAAGTGGAGTAAAAAATTATGTATTCTCTAGCTCATCTGCAAAATCAGTGATGTGAATTATAACTGGGACAGCTCTTCTAGACCTGTCTATCCATTTACTAATCCTGGTTGCTTTCTTTCCTGTGTTCTCAGTTGCTTAGTTCCCTAGCATTTTAAATGATTCAAGCAATGGAGGAAGATTCTCTTTTTCTTGCTAGATTGTTTTATAGTCTTCACAGGAGGTTATGGTCAGGAAATTATTTCTTGTATTCACTCTGAAATCTCTTGCTCAACTTCATCATATTACATTGAATTAGTTTGGGAACTATCCTGAACAATTTGGTTCTTTCTGCACTATTGACATTCTTGAAATAATTTAATTTCTTCATTTCTCTCTCTCCCTTCCTCTCTCCTGTCTCATTCTTTCTCTCTCTTTTGGTTTCATGTTTAGATTACTATTTGCTAGTATTTTATACCGTACGCCTTCTACTGTTACTGGAAAAAGACATTTAACCAAGCAGTAGAGTGTCAGGATTTGGGTGTATTTTCACATCTCTGCCCAGAGTCCTGTTCTTGCTGTTTTCATTCATTGCTGATGTGTCAGTTTGGTGCTGTCTACCTAGTAGATAGCCACTAACTGTTAACAGTGTTAAAATGACATTTTTAGTGTCTGTTGAATTTTTTTCTTTATGTTTCCCTTGTATTTAATTTACTTAGAATATATTTACTATAAACAGTTCTTCTTTAATTGTCTCTTGGCAGTCTTTCACAATTTAGCAGGTTTTTCTTTAATGAAGATTACTATCACTAGTTTATATTTTAAGACTAGACCTTTTTTTTTCTCTGTGGTTTAGATAGTGAAAAGGATAAAAAAATAAATTTAGAGGGATTGGGAGTAATTTCAATACTTTAAACTTCTAGTTTTACAGTTTTTTCCTTTGTATTCAGAAAGGATGTAGTTGGCTGTAATATCTTTGACAACAAATTGTTTACTTAAGATTACTTTTAATTCTCCTGAAAGTATTTCTCTTTAATTTAATTTAATAGTATTTAATTCTCGGGAGCCTGGGTGGCTCAGTTGGTTAAGCGACTGCCTTCGGCTCAGGTCATGATCCTGGAGTCCCAGGATCGAGTCCTGCATTGGGCTCCTTGCTCAGCAGGGAGTCTGCTTCTCCCTCTGACCCTCCCCCCTCTCATGCTCTCTCTCTATCTCATTCTCTCTCAAATAAATAAAATAAAATCTTAAAAAAAAATAGTATTTAATTCTCTTAAATGTATTTTAAAAATACGTGATTTCTTTGGCTGCAATGCCTAGATTTTTTGGTGAATTTTTTCTGGCTTCTTACTTATTTTCTTAAATTTTCCAAGCAGTATTATATTGTTCAAATCAGTATGGTTGAATGGTTAAGAGCATGGACTTTAAGATTACCCTGGTTTGAATACTGACTTGACAGTTACTTTTTGTGTTATTTTGAGATTTCTTAGCCTGTCTTCCCATCAATTTTCTCATGTGTAAAATGGAGATAATACCTCTTTCACATATTAGAGTGGAAGATTGCACAGTATGGTTACATTATATTAATATATGTAAAGTGCTTAGAACAGTGCCTAGTACATAGTAAACCTTCAAATTATTATTACTGTCATCTATTATATCAGTGGAATTTTGGTTTATTAGAACTGTAGAGAGAATTAACTTTATTTTTTTTTTTAAAGATTTTATTTATTTATTTATTTGACACACAGAGAAGGAGAGAGCAAGCCCAAGCAGGGGGAGTGGCAGGCAGGGGAGAAGTAGGCTCCCTGCTGAGCAAGGAGCCCAATGTGGGGCTTGATCCCAGGACCTTGGGATCATGACCTGAGCCGAAGGCAGCCGCTTAACCGACTGAGCCACCCAGGGGCCCCTAGAATTAACTTTTTAATATAAACTCTTTTCTTGCCTATAATTATTGTTTCTATTAATATGCTACTGATTCACGATTTGTATTTTATGGATGCTTAGTATGAGAATGCAGTCTTGTTCTAGAGATATTTTTATTCTGAGAGTTTTCCTTTTATTCCATTGTAGGAGTGTAGCTTCTGTGAAGACCCTCGTTTTGCTAGAACTGGAGTTTGCATTAGCTGTGATGCAGGGATGTGCAGAGCCTATTTCCATGTGACCTGTGCCCAGAAGGAAGGTCTGCTTTCAGAGGCAGCAGCAGAAGAGGTAGGTTTATTTAAACTCATCGTTGGTGAATATGTTCATAAGATGTCTCATGACTGTAAATGTCCCACAACAGGTGTGCATTATAAAAGAAATTAACAAGCTTATTTTAAAAGTCTTTGCCTGGATCACTGGTCTAAAATTTAAAAAATCAACAATGTATGAGTTTTTTCAGTTTCAAAGCTAGTTAGACATTTGGAAAACATGTTAAAAATTCTTAGAGTGAGATCTGACAGATAAAATGAAACATAATCCAGGTTGTTTTAAAGCATTAAAATGTCAGCATCTTGGATAACCTCACTCTGTTTCTGTAAATAAAATCATTACCCCTTCAGTATCTGTATTTCTATCTCTTTACAATTGTTTTTAATTTTATAATTTTCCTTCCAGGTTTATTGGCTTTAGATTAAGTAACAGTTGTTTTCAAAATATGTTTTGGGGACTCCTTAATATTCTTTCAAGGGGTTTATGAGGTTAAAACTATATTGTAACAATATGAAAGTGGTATATACATTTTTTTACTCTTAATTCTCTCATGAGTAATAGTGGATATTTTCAGAGATTATATAACACATAACAATATAACATATTGAATGTGGAAATAGTTTTGAGAATCCAGCTATCTTCTTTTATGTGGGCTGTCTAGATGTTAAAGAGATTTGCAAAAATGTAAAACAGTGCCACTCTTCTCACTGAATTTGTATATAGTATTTTTTTATAAAAATATTATTTATCTTAACATGTAATGGGATTATTATTTTAAAATGAGTAAATATATTAAAATTTTATTATTTTAATTTCTCATATGGGGACTGTCTATAAATATAACTCACATAAACTCTTTCGGACTTTAATAATTTTTAAGACTTAAGGAGTCCTGAGACTAAGTTTTGTTGTTTCTTTAAGTTCTTTATGTAGACAGGTATTTGAGTGTTTGCTTGGTAATTCTTACTGTCTGTTCATGGTGGATCTGTGGTATATCTAGGTCTCTTGTGTTTCTTCTTTTACTGGCTAAATTTTTAGTGTCATATAAAAATATGTTTATTATATTGGGTCTTTATCTTATCCCATTTAATTCATAGACAGGAATCAAGTGAAAAAGATAATCTAATGAAAATTGGTTGAGTAGATTAGAGTGATATGTTTTTTTTTAATAAATGAATTCTATAACAGTTATATGTTGGTACATGGTTTTGTACCAGTCTCTGATTCCTATGAATTGTACTTTGATTAACTGATGAAGGGTACTGCGTAAACAACATTTTCACAGCTCTTAGGCAGACATAGAGGTATAATTAATTATATAATAGGGTTGTGTGGATTAGTTATGACTACAGCTCAGGATGGTGAGCGAAGTGCAGAGGGGCAATACAAGTAAGACTTAGAAGACTAGATAATCCCAGGTGAATACTTAGATCACAGAATCTGTTAGGTTATTACTGTACTGTGGTAAACTTTGAGCTTTTGCAATCAGGAAGACTCCTTTGTAGCCTTTTCTTTTAGAACTCATTGGGAGCTTTACCTTTCATACTGTGGTAGTTTGGGTTCCTATGTATAGCACCATTCATTCACCATTTTTATTATTTTTTTGGGTTGACAGTAGGTAACGAAAATGTGTGAAGTTGGGGCGCCTAGGTGGCGGGAGTTAAGGCTCTGACTCTTAGTTTCAACTCAGGTCATGATCTCAGGATCATGAGATCAGAGACCATGGCTCCACTCAGTGCAGAGCCTGCTAAAGTTTCTCTCTCCCTCTCCCTCTGCCCCCTTCCCTGTGTGCTTACCAGGTGCCCGTATATGTGCTCTAAAATAAATAAAATCTTTAAAAAAATAAAAAGAAAATGTGTGAAGGAGCCATATACTGTTGCCTTTTTAAGTGTACTTTTTTGGGGGGGTGGGGAATGATTTAAAATATATTTGCATATGTTTCTGGTGTCTTGTTATAAACATTTATAGAATTGGAAATAAAGATTTCTAAACAATGTTTTAAAACCCAAGAGTTTTTATGAATCTCTATCAGTGAGGTTTGCTCTTGGCAGTCATCATTCTGTTAAAAGAAGTTCTTGGCTACTTCTTATGGTTGTACTTCTATAAGATTCATGTAATATAATAGTATATTTAATTAAAAAACAAATTTTAAATTAAAACAGATCTGTTTTTTGTAGGCATATCTTCTGTTTCAATTTTATATGACATTCTAGAAAGCTTCTTTTTTCCCTTTTTTAAAGACTTGTTTGTTAAGTGGGATTTCTTCTTTTTTTTATCTTTTTTTAAGGTTTTATTTATTTATTTGACAAAGAGACAGCAAGAGAGGGAACACAAGCAAGGGGTGTGGGAGAGGGAGAAGCAGGCTTCCCGCTGAGCAGGGAGCCCGATGGAGGGCTCGATCCCAGGAACCTGGGGTCATGACCTGAGCCAAAGGCACATGCTTAACGACTGAGCCACTTGGGTGCCCCAAGTGGGATTTCTTCTTAATGGCTGTTTTATATAGGCAGTAAAAGAAAGGTTGAAAAAGAATTAGTACCTCAGTTTTATCCAGTAACATCATATACCTTACCATATTCTAATGATTTTCTATAGCCTTCTGACAGTACTTTATCTCATTGGTGAGGATCCATTTGAAGTTTCTATTCTTTCTGATCTACTTTGTGAAAATTCCTGATTATTTAGAATATTCAAACCATGTTATGATACAACACATTTATTACTAAAACTGAGCAGTAGTACAGGTTCAATTATGCTGACTGAAATTTATGTGATTATGTTTCACACCATTTAGTTAGCCTTAAGGTTACTTATATTTCATGTAAAACATATGGTAGTTTCTTCTGTGATAAAATATGATTTGCCACACTCCGTTACCATGTAGAAAATTCTCTTTGAAACAATATAAGATTATAGATTTTATTGATTCTTTTTTTCCCATAACCTTTGACTTAATGGACTGAAATCATTCATGGATTAATGTCAAGAGCTCAAATTAGATCTTTAGCTATTGAACTGATGCCTTAATATTGCTGGGAAAACCAGGATTGGTAGGAATGGGCTCTTGGTTGATCAAATAATTTTTCATGAATTCATCAAGTTACATTGCTTAAAACTAGACGTTTTATATGAGATCTTCAGCAATACCTTTATGTGGCTGTTAGGCATTTGGTAACTTACATTTTTATTTTAAAAAGTATTTAGTGTTTTTATATATATATATATGTATAGTAAGGCTGTATCTTAGAATATGTCTAGAATATGTCTACTTCTTAACAAATTCATTGCTGCTATCCTAGTCTCAGTAATCCTTTGTCACCTGGATTAACTCTTTCCCTGCCTTTCTTTGCCTTTTTAAGGACAGAGGGTGGCAGTTTTTTTTTCTCTGAAGAGCCAGATAGTAAATATTTTAGGCTTTTTGGGCCTATTGTTTGTGTCACAACTATTTAACTTTGCCATTGTTTGTGAAAACTGTCTTAGACAGTATGTAAATGAATAGCTATGGCTGTGTTCAAATAAAACTATTTCCAAAACAAGGTGGGCCCACATTGGGCTCTCAAGTCATAGTCTACCAATCCTTTCCTAGAGAATAGAGGACCTTTTCAGTAACAACTAATACTGTCCCATTAAGATATAAGTCAGATCTGGTCACTCATCTGCTCAAAACCCCTTCAGTGGCTTTCCGTCGGATTCACACTAGAGGCCAGTTTTTTTTTTGTTTTGTTTTGTTTTTTTTACAGTGATTATAAAGCTCTGTGTGATCTGGGTTCACATTACCTTTCTGACCTCATCACTTCCCCTCAATAAATCTCCCTGGCCTTTTCCTTGCTCCTGTAATGAATGTGTTGGGTAAGCTCCTACTCTGGGCCTCTGTACCTGTTTCTTTGCATGGGCTGCCCTTCCCTCACGTATGCCCTCATGGCTCATTCCCTCACTTTTTTTTTAAATCTTCACTCCATGTCTCCTTCTCACTGTGGACTTTCCTGGTCACCCTGTCTAACGTTGTAACACTTTCCCTCCATGATACTTTCTAATCCCCTTTCCTGCTATTTCCCCCCCCCCATCTTTTTAATACCTAACCACTGTCCAATATATTGATCCTTATTTATCTTGTTTATTGTCTCTCACCTTTATTAGAACATGGATTTATGAGGAGAGGGTTTTTTTGTTTTCTCTTTATTTTTCACTGTGTCTTCACTCATTAGAATATCAGTTGAGGGAGCGGTCCCTTCTATCAGTCAGCTTTTGTTTGATCAGCTCTATAGCATTATTGGCTTTTTTGGGTAAGATTTTATTAAAAAAAATAATTCTAGGGTAAAATTAGTTTTCAGATCATCATTTTGTGTTGTATTTTGCACATTTCCTTTCCCATTTATTTGTTTTGATTTCCTATTTATATAAAGGCATTGCCTGAGGGTATACCTTTGGCATACTTTTTTGTGGTATTGGAATAAGTGTTTATTCATACATGTGTCTCTTTATCTCTTTGGTTTACATGAGATGATGTTTCCTGCCATCCCAGCTCAGGGAACTGTTAAAGCACGTGTTAGCAGATAGATCACTTTCACTTTGTTACTTTTCTAAGGTAATCTTATTTAAACCTTTATTTGAAGTTTAACTGTAAGAAGTATGATTTATTTGGGGTATATGCAGAAGTATCAGTTCCTCTAAATAGTCTATATAAGCTTTATTATTAGACACAAACCTGGACAAAATTATTTTGATCCTTATGATTATTCCTTTTGCTGATACATGCTTTTTACATTTTGATGTTGTTACATTTTTTATTGTTAAATGTTGTCTTACTGATTTTTTTCTTTTGTATTAACTTGGGAATATTGATGAGCCAATTTTTTAGTACATAGTGTTCTTTCTCTTAGTTCTTAATACTAGGTATAATTGCTAGTTTGCTTATGAACTTATTTGGGTTTTTTTGTTGTGATTTTGTTTGTTTTTATCTTTTGACCCCCTTCACCCCATTTCTCTTCTCCCCTCTCTTCCTCTGGCAGCCACTGGTTTGT